AGGTGTTTTGGAGGAGCGAGTCCACCAGCATCATATAGTGACCTGGACACTGTTCTGGAAGAGGAACGGCTCATAATCCTTCTGGTGACTGTGAAGGACTTCTATCTGTCAATTGGTGCTGTATTTGGATGCAAAATGAGGCTCTCACCATTCTAACAAATTATTGTGTTGTAAAACCAGGTGTTTCAGTTTCATTGTCCAACCCCTGTATATCTTTACTATGGCTTTTCTGATATGGTAAACTTGCTTGGTAGCTCACCTGGTACATCATTACACTTGCTCAATATTCGATACGAGCCACGATAAAACAGATTTTAAGACTTTTAAAAGCAAGCTAAACTGGCAAGGTTGATTGAGCAAATGCGCATTTATCTCAAATTTGCATTTGTTTGCATTGTTTAAAGGCACAATATGTATTTTTTATGCTTTAAAAATAGCAAAATAACTGTATCTATGTTAAATATTTCTATTACATGTGTACTTGCATTATCCCGACAGTTTCCACCAACTTTGAAATCCGGAAAAATATAGTTTAATTTCACAATAATAATAAAAAAGGGACGTTTCTTTATTTCCATTTCGGGACGTTTCGATATTTCCGTTTCGTCGCCTGTCTATGGCGTCATATAACCTTTGACTCCTCTATTTTTTCTAACTTCCTGTGGAAACCGCCAAACACAAAGGGGAACACTGTACAGGCAATACAATGCTGAATAAAGTTGTAGTTTTTTGTTATTTTTGGACCAAAATGTATTTTTGATGCTTCAAATTCTAACCAAATTCTAAAAACTAACCCACTGATGTCACATGGACTACTTTGATGATGTCTTTATTTCCTTTCTGGACCGTACATACATTTTCAGAAAGCTCTCTGACTTTATGTCCCTCCTTTGAAAATGTTGTTTTTTCTTTGAAAATGTTCAATGTACAGTAACCAAACTTTGGATAAAAGCCCCTAGTAAATGCATAAATGTAAATGTAGAAATTTCTCCACAGGCACGTTTTTCCAATGAGCCTGAGTTGGAATTAAACCACACACACACACACACACATATATATATATATATATATATATATATATATATATATCTGTCAAGGGGCTGTCAAATGATTAATCATGATTAATCGCATCCAAAATAAAAGTTTGTGTTTACATAATATATGTGGGTGCACTGTGTAGAATTATTATTCTATATTTATTTTTAGAATTATTATATTATTATATATATATATATATATATACATACACACACATGCTTGTGTATATTTAAGAAATATTTTCATGTATATATATATTTATATATAGTTTATATTTTATATAAATATAAAAATTTTATATAAAATTAATATTTTTTTTCTTAAAAATACATGTATGTGTGTGTATATATATATATATACAAAATAATTATACACAGTGCACCCACATGTGTGTGTGTGTGTGTGTGTGTGTGTGTGTGTGTGTGTGTGTGTGTGTGTGTGTGTGTTTGTGTCACAGGCCAATAACTAATTATTTGCTCTATTTTAAACAACAAAACCTCAATTTATTTGTGCTTGATGAATACATGTGTTTGTTTTTATTGTCAGCCACTGTTTAAAGACCTCAAACCTCAGTATAATGACATCCACTTATAAGTGCCACATGTTATAAATCCTCTTCCCTAAGCGGAGCCCATCTCCCCTGCTAAGCATGACATTTAAAGCATGATTGTACCCCAGAATTAATGAATATTTGATGAGATATCTTTTCTGAAATTGTAGACTAAGGCAGTGGTATGCCATGCTCTCAAAACCCCATTGTTGTAAATGCTTTTATAATGAAACAGATCTGTGTCTCAGACTAAATATAAATCACTGGGGAAGTAAGTGTGATGACAGCCCATACAGGCTGAATAAATGCTAGTTTTTTTTTTTATAGTGATTGTGGATATTTACACATCAAGCCATACACAAGCCATTAAATATCTTGTGCATCAATGGATTTATGTCTAAATCTCTGTTATTGTTGGCACATCGCAGCAATGGTTTTGGCAGGTTTAGCGGAGGAAGTTAAGTGCTTTTCCCCCTTACTTCTCTCCTCTTAGACCTGAATTCACTTGTACCTTTCACTCTTAAGGGTCTCCACACACCGGCATCTCTGCAGCTGGAAACATATCTGATGTGACATCTCCTCCTGTTGCTCATGCATTTTTTATGGGCCGTCCTCTCCCACCCAGTCCTCTTGGAGGAAAACCTACGCTCTGTAGCGTGCCAGAGTCTATAGCACATTTCACCATTGCTGTCAGCTTCATGCTTAAGCTACTTTACTCGTAAATACTGACATGCTGATATCTGGGAGGGCTGTGTTTGGAACCCCTGCTGAATCATTATAGGTTTGTGCTTGCTCATGCTTTGCATATCGGCTCATGTTATGATGCACAGTATCGATAGGTGCATCGATTTCACCCCTGCATAAAATTCACTGAGCAGAAGTGCGTATTCTTCTGAGAAAGTGAGAACGGCTTAGGAGCCCTGACCCTGAAATAATGCCTTGTCGCTTGGATGTCAGTTGAATTGGGTGCTAAGAGAAGTTTCGCCACTTTGAGCGCCATTCTGAAAGGATGTAACATTAGTGGTCCCCTTTTTTGCAGTTGTTAGGACATCATTAAGTCTCTTGTCCCCACATCAGTCCTTCCTGATGTGAAGGGATTGTGCTGGCCGATGTGCTTTTCATTCTTCATTCTAACAGTTCACCATTGATCATTTCTCAAGCCAAGACCTGAGCCAGAATATCGATCTGGAAAACAGAAATAGGTCTTTATGAAATGAGTGCGTTTTGACTCTTTGATTTTGATTAAAGTCAGAGGAAGAGAAAAGTCAGAAATTATATTTTCGATTAACAGGGTATATTTACCGCCACAGAATGGCTTTAAGATGGCGTTTTTTTATTTTTATTTTTTTATAGTCAATTAATTTATGAATTACATTTTGCATTACATTATTATATTACATTATTTTATATTATACTATTTCCATAATATATAAATAACTACACAAAGTAAGATTTGTAAAACTCTCTTATGCTTACCAAGGCTGCATTTATTTGATCAAAAATACAGTAAAAATAATAGAGTGATATTGTTATTATTGTAATATAAAAGTTTTGTGTTTCGTATGTTTAAGATGTAATTTATTCCTGTGATGGCAAAGCTGAGCATCATCACTCCATTCTTCAGTGTCACATGATCCTTCGGAAATCATTCTAATATGGGGATTTGGTGCTCATGATGACTCATTATCAATGTTGCTGCTTAATATTTTCGTAGAAACCATGATTTTTTTTTCCAGGATTATTTGAATAATAGAAAGTTGAAAATAACAGTAATTATTTAAAATAGAAAAGTACAATTTTCGAAAAAAATATACATTTTGATCAAACAAAAGCATACTTGCTGAGCTAAAGTGTTTGTTTCATTCGAATAAATCGTACTGACCCCAAACTTTTGAATGGTACTTTTATTCTATAAACTATACTGACAACATTTCTCCCAAATTCCAAATAAAAATATAATCATTTAGAGCATGTATTTGCAGAAAACGCCTTTCATATTTATTGGCTTGTGACCATCCATCTTCATTCCATCACAGCAGAGGATTTCAATGGGGTTCAGGGCTGGAGATTGGGCTGGCCATGACAGGGTCTTGATCTGGTGGTCCTCCATCCACACCTTGATTGATCTGGCTGTGTGGCATGGAGTTTTTTTTTTATCCACCAGGACAATGCTCCATGCCACACAGCCATATCAATCAAGGTGTGGATGGAGGACCACCAGATCAAGACCCTGTCATGGCCAGCCCAATCTCCAGGCCTGAACCCCATTGAAAACCTCTGGAATGTGATCAAGAGGAATATGGATGGTCACAAGCCATCAAACAAAGCAAAGCTGCTTGAATTTTTTTTTGCACCAGGAGTCACCCAACATCAATGTGAAAGACTGGTGGAGAACATCCCAAGACGCATGAAAATCAGGGTTATTCCACCAAATATTTATTTCTGAACTCTTTCTAAGTTAAAACATTAGAATTGTGTTGCTTAAAAATGCATATGAACTTATTTTCTTTCCATTATTCAAGGTCTGACAACTCTGCATATTTTTTATTTTGACCAGTTGTCGATTTTTTTTGCAAATAAATGACTATTTTTGTTTTGAATTTGGGAAAAATGCTGTCAGAAAATTATAGAATAAAACAAAAATGTTAATTTAACCCCAAACACATACCTATAAATAGTAAAACCAAAGAAACTTTGCAGTGATCTCTTGCTGTAATTTTATCCAGAGCTGTATATATAATCATATTTGATCAGTTCTTAAAATTAAATCAACACATTTACGGTATGTGTCGATTTGCATAACAAGAAGAAATACCTATTTTTAATTATTAATTAAAAACACAGAAATTCATAATGATTCTTTTTCTTAGTCCAACATATAAAATTCCATGTGAATTACATGACCGTTTTTTGGTGCACCTGAAAGCCTGGCCTGGAAGTATCAGTGTAATAATAACTATTAACAAATAAATACAAATTGATCACAGTTGTAAGGGTTTCTAATCCTTCTCCTGTATATAGGCATTATTTTTGCCTACTTAACATCATTACACCTTTCCAAAGCCCTTCCCGTGAAGCCTGCGCCTCTGCCAGTTCTGCAGTGGAGCATGCACCGTTATTCTGCTAGGTTAAGTGCGGCACAATCTAATTACTCTAATGTCGGATGCGGTCTTAAATCACACTTATTGGGTAAGTGCGCCCGTTTGTCTGTCCTTCAGAAGGGAAGCTGCTCTCGGACTAATTATTCCAACTGGATATGAGCAATTGCACTTATTGGCTGGGGCATGGCACCGGCTGCCTGCGCTCCTATTCGTTGCCGGTGAAGTCTGTGTGCGATTGGGTCCTGGAAGGGAGTGGGAGGGGCATTCTCTCTTTCCTCTCTGTGCTGGAGCGTGTGTGGATGTGAGCACTCTTTTCTCTCCTATTATTTGAGTGGCTGCAGGTACTGGTGTCTGCCTCTATGCCTCTGTGCCAGAGGGATAAAGAGAGAAAGACAGAGGACTAGTGCTTCATATCCCCCCTCTGGCCTCCCCGTCTCCCTGCTCCCTGTCACTCCATCCTTCCTTCCTCCCTCCCGGACCACCCGTCAGCGGCTGGATCAACCCGCCCGGACCCTCCTCCCACAACCCCTTTGACTATCCTCACTTCACCGTCCCATCTTGTGAACTGTGTGCAGGTAAGCCAGCACCTAAAAATGACTTTATTGTGCTTTTTTTTTTTTTTCCCTTTCTGCTTCTGTACACTCTTTCCTCTTCGCATGTCTCTGTTTCTCACACACTCTCTTTCTCACGCACCCTCCCTCACTCTCTTCAGCTTTCAAGTTTTCCCTTCTGGCAGTTCCTCTCAGAGGGAAGCGTGCAAAGAGAGATGAGGGATTAGAATCTGTGAGGTCACTGTTTTCGAGCCCAAACTCAGTTCACACAGAGTGCTTATCACTTCTTCTATCTAAGACTTTATCTGAAGCGATGTAATGCCCGCCGGCTTTGCTGGAAAACCGATGCTCCGTGCCACAAACCCACTGTGTACTTTAGCTTCACACGTTTCCTCTGTGTTGTCCTTGACCCCTGCAGCTGTTTATTTTCTGTGTGTCAGAGTTCTTCAATGCTGAAGTGTTTCAACTAAACTTACAGATGGTTTTGCAGCTCTAGGATTACCAATGGCATGATGTTACTACTGGACTAACTGATTCAAACAAGGTATTCAGACATTCAATATGGTCAGTAAGGCCAGAAACAAACAGACACAAATCCTTGGTCGACATGTTTTAAGTTTTGTGCTTTGCCAAAACTTCATTTTTGGAAGTACAGCAAAAATGTTTATGCTAAAATACCTATGGTAAGCCATTCTTAGTTTGATTTCTCTGAAAAAGTCAAACTTTTAATATTTAATATTTCTCTGTCCAAAGTTTTTTTCAACCAATGACGTTAGTTTGGGGCGGGATGATCTGTTTAACAGGAGTGCTTTTGGAAGCTTTCACTTTTTTAGCCCTTAAATGCATTTTGTTGTATGTTTGGAGTGTTTATAATTACAGAAAAGATGAAATTATTCTCTCCAGGTGCTTCGTTTATGTTTAATTTCTGTTTTGGTCGTATTTTTCAACCTGTTCAGATTTTTCTGTTCTCTATGACGTTTTTTGAACAATTATGTCACGGTATTTGAAGCGGAACCGACAAAAAAGGACATTGACTACCGGCCCAACACTTCGAGCAATCCGCCATTGTTATTTCTCGCTCCAATTTTGTAGTCCAAGCTCAACGATGCAGAAGTTACGAGAGGGCAGGTCAAAATGTTCGGTTGTTGGATGTCGTGACCTGAAGCACTTCAATGATTCCAACTTCAACAATCTCCGCCAGTATAAAGAAGGGTTTGCCGATCGACTTCATCTGAATGAGGGGTAATAAGGGGTAAATCGTTAATAAAAATAAAGTAGTTTACTTTCTTAAAACACATGGTGGTCATGGTTTAGCAGTACCTTTTGACTTTCTTTGTTTTTGTTTTGAAGTAACGTTACACGTCTGCAGTATTATTTTCCGTGAGTTTCATCAATGGTCATTTAGCTGCTGTGTTTTCTGATGCTTTTCTAAACGTATCATATTATCAATACAGATTTTTAGTGGTAAGATTAGACCGTAATCATTTATCTTGTCAGTGTGCTTGTTTTAACAAGATAAATAGTCGACTTTCATATGAAGACGTTGTTCTGCAGGTTCGTCATCATCTTTTTCAAATCGCTCGCTCGCTCTTGCTCGAACATGTAAGGCTTGATGGTTGTTGACATTTTGTTAACGTGTGAATAAAAATGTTCTTTGAAGCTAAAGTATAATCGTAGATCTCTAATCAAACTACAAAAATGGCTGAACAGGGTGGAGTTGAACCGAGTGTGAACTCAGCGACCTGGAGAGCGAGATGTGTGTGACACATCTCCTTTTTATTTAAAGGGGCCGCTTCAAAACGAGTTGCTCACAGACGCACATCAGAAAAGAGGTAGAAAAGAGCTCCTGTGGAGCTATAATAATGAGGAATTCAGACCCAAGCATTGCAGTAAAGCTTTCTATAGATCACAAATGTATGATTTGTATGTAAAAATGAATGATTTAAAAGCATGATATGTACCCTTTAAAACAAAACGTTTGTTGACGTTATTGTCATTGAAATTACACATTCCACCTTTTATGTCTGTATTTGAGCAAATTTGGCGGAAATAAATTTCAGTACCCAAAAGAGTAACGATGGAGTTACCTTAGAACTTTTTTTGGAATTAAAATTAGTATCCTGTCGTCATTTATTCACCCTCATGTTGTTCCACACCTGTATGCCTGTCTTTCTTCTATGGAACACAACATATATTTAGAGAAATATATTGCGTTTCCTATCTTCTTTAGTGCTCCACATAAGAAAGTTAGACAGGTTTGAGAAAATATAAGGGTGAGTAAATAACGACAGCATTTTAATTTTCGGGGTAAATATTCTTTTAAACTGTATTTTGAATCGTCATGTTATCAGAATAGAGAGAACACAAAAAGTTGTTTGTCAACACAACTCTATAAGGAACTATTGCTCTGTCATGATAGTGGTTGACCTGAAGGAGAAAAAACTGACGGTAGAAGTTTGGACTTGCAATCCAGGATGCGCTCATGTGTGAAATCAAGTAGCTAGAAGTATTAGCGTTAATAAACTTGCTTAGAGTATGATTCAGGTCTAATTCTACAGAGCACAGCAGACAAAAACTGCTTAGGTCTTCATCCAGTTCAGTGCGTCGATGTGAATGGGTGCTGAGATTGAAGTGGTGCAAACATCAATACCAGCCCATGGTTTGACAGATCTTGAACTTGTCTCCAGCACTTTAACAGCAGGCCAATAGTAAAGGCATTTCCAATCAATCTGATTAACTGTCTGTTTACAAGCACATCATACCTTTATATATTCTCTATTCTCTCGCAATTTTGAAATGTAGAGCATTTATTATTATCTAGGGTTATTGGAAGCAATGAGTAAATTCACAGAAGAACAGGTGTCTTAATTAACACCATTATTCCTTTGCCGCCTCGTTGGCCTGTTTCCAAACGTGGACTAAAGAAGGAATGATTGTTCAAACAAAAACAAATCTTCAATTAACTCAGACGTGTTATCGGAACATAGAAGGTCTGAAAGATTTTGCCTTTATTTAACTAAGCATTTATTTGTCAAGTTACATAGCATCTTGTGTCCTACCGTCCTTGTAAAGTGGATGACATCACAATCCTAAGATGCAAATAGCATATCTTATCGAGAAATTCATTGCAACTTTTTGCATATTAGACGAAAATTCCAATGACATTGCCATTGACTTTTAGCTGCTTACTCTAAAACAACTCAGCGGTTTCATATTGCTGGTTTTATATTATTTCGAAATCTTTGCACCTCCTGAGAAGTGAGATGTGCTTTAATTCTAGACTTATAAAGAACTGTGACTTTTAGATCTAGTATGTTCTTTGATTTGGAGGTTGTTTTACTGACAGTTTAAGTGTCTTGAAATGTTCCTGTCAGGCAATCTGGATTTACATTTTAGCATGGTGACTTTTTTTAGCTGTTGGCTTGGGAAACTGTGCTTATCACATATAGTATGATTATAAATATGGGCAGATTCTTAAGCTAGAGTAAATTGCAAATGTCATCGATGAGGACTTCTATCTCTTAAACCACTTTAGATTAGTTTCAGTTGCATATTTACCTCACTGTATATTTTCATCAGCATTAAATGGATGCATGAAGTTTTAGGAAAAGCTATTACTTGCCAGACAAGTTCAATTATATTCTCTCTAACAAGACTGTTTTTTTTTTTTTTTTTTTTTTTTTCGCTGACGCCCATGATCTCGAAGCAGCTGGTCTTTTTATGCTTTGGCTGTTTTTTTTTTTTTTCTTTCTCCGGATCTCATGCTGTCCTGGCTTCCGAGTTGCTGGTTCGGCAGAGTTGCAGTATCAAAAGGCCTCTGCCATTCCCTGGGCTTACTCTCCATTCCCTATGTGCCAGGAAACTATGGGAGCCTGGATGTCATTTTGGACTGAGATCCAAACATGAATGTACATGTAATCATTTCATTTCGACTTTACTTCAATGCTTTCGGCAAGTAGGATGTGGAAGACAGCCAACTTGTCTTTAGCTTCATCCAGAAGATGGGCCACTTTTATTTACTGTATTACATGTCACTATTACTGATGCTCGGTGCTGACAGAGAATGTCTCCCCCCACCCCCCATCCTCCCTTCAGCCTGATTGGAACGCAGGTCTCCCCAGCATGGCCGTATAGTAAGTTAAAAACGTCATGGCTGTGTCATAACTCATAAGCGAATGCAAAGTGTTGCCGAGGGCTGAAATTGAATGCTGCACCTTTTCAAAGTTAAGGCACAGAAAGAATTATGGCCTCTGAAATCTCGGGAGCTTTGTCTCTCCGCAAAGCCACTCTGCAGTGTAATTTAACCCGCCGATGGGCCGTGAGATCAATCAGGACCCAAGAAGCTGGAGGGGGGTGCATGGGAGTGAGTCGAACCGGCCCTGGACCACCCGCTGCCGTCGTTCTTAATGCTTGGCTGGATGGTGTGGCTATTTTTATTGTTTCCAGTGATGTAGTGGAGAAGATGTTCTGGAAAAGGTTAGGGAAACACTGCAGGCTTGTCTGAAGATCCGTGGGTCATGTACGATACTGATGCGGCTGGCTATTTGATTAAGTCAGGTCATCCTGTTGTTAATCTGTCAGTGAACCAATTTAATCAGTCATGGAGTCCAATCTACAGTATATACCGAATGCACATTACCTTATACTGTTCTCTGTGTTTTTAGGTGGCAGAGGAAGGAACTTTGCTCTGAGACTTGAACTTGGAGTTGTGCTTGTCGCAAATTAATTATGAGACTCAACTAAGACTCAGATCTTTGACTTGAGACTTAAATTGAAATCCCATTATAAAATCCAGAGCTCAACAATTTGGATTTTATATGATCCACCACAGAGGAATTATCAAGTTTTTTTTTTTTTTTTCCTTTGTGTTTTTAGCAATATTTTACCATTTGCTAGAATTTATATATATATATATATATATATATATATATATATATATATATATATATATATTTGATGATTAATTGATTGATTTATTGTCTGATTGTTTCCAGTGATGTAGTGGAGATGTTCTGGAAAAGGTT